GATAGCCTCTGAAACAGCACATGACTGTCTTACAGCCACTCAGGCTGTCCTGCTTCACCTGCATGATGCAGGTTTTAAAGTTAGTAAATCTAAACTTCAAGCAGTTCGTACACAGGTCTCTTTCCTCGGTAGGTTGGTCTCTGCTAATGGTACAACACTTTCACCAGAACACAGGGCGTCCATCTTACATCACCCGAAGCCCATCACTGTACAAGACATGTTATCCTTTTTAGGTTTAAGTGGGTACAGCAGACACTATATACCTGATTATAGTGAACTCACCACTCCACTCAGACAGATGGTAAAAGATCAAGGTAACAGAAACCTGAAAGCAACACTTGTGTGGAACACAGATGCAGAACATGTGTTTATTAAACTGAAGCAACTCTTGTCCAGAGCAGCTGATTTGGCTCTGCCTGACTACTCCACCCCGTTTTTTCTTGATGTTTCTGAAGCAGAAAACACTGTTAATGGTGTTCTGTTTCAGAAAAAGGGGGGTGGTAGACAGGTGTTGATGTACGCAAGTGTGCTGTTGGATGGTACTGAGAAGCGTCATCCAACATGTACACAGGCAGCGGCAGGTCTGGCAAGGATTGTTTCAAAAACAGCACACATCGTCATGGGACACCCACTACACATCCTAACGACACACAACATAGTAGCGTATGTTAATTCTGAGCTCTTTACAATGACATCCTTAAAGCAAAGACGCATGAGCAACATCCTATCAGAACCGAATTTATTGTTCCTGCATGAAGGCATAAACATGGCAGATGGTATGCAAACAACACAGGCACATGATTGTGTGCAAAAAGTGTACGTGGAGGAACGCATTAGACCTGATTTACAGACTGAACTCATACCACATTCAAATATACTCTACACAGATGGTTGCTGCTTCAGGCTTGAGGATGGGTCTTTGAGATCAAGATTTGCTGTGGTACAGCAGAATGGTGATGAGTACGAGGTACTGAGCTCAGGGCAGCTAGAAGGTCATCAGTCAGCTCAAAAAGCTGAAATTCAGGCAGTCGTTGAGGCTTTGAAAATGAGCAAAGGAAAAGAGGTTACAGTGTACACAGACTCTGCGTATGCTTATGGTGTAGTTCATGTTCAGTTACCACAGTGGAAAAGAGCAGGTTTTTGAACAGCAGGTAACAAACCAATTAAACATGAGGAACTCATTAAGGATTTAGCTGACAGTTTGATGTGGCCATCAAAAGTGGCGGTTGTGAAGTGCAAAGGTCATGATGTTACACAATCAGACACAGCGGAAGGAAACAGGCAAGCTGACAGAGCAGCCAAGATAGCTGCTGGCTATTTGCCAAGAGTCCAGATGGTGACAGTGGAAGAGGAATGTCAGAAAGTGAATCATTGGGATGAGAAAAATGTAGCAGAGGCTCAGACTACAGCCTCCCCAGAGGAAAAGACATTATGGTTTAACAGAGGAGGTCAGAAAAAAGGGGAGTTTAAAGTATGGATAGGACCGAATCAGAAGTGGATCTTGCCTATGACTTTAAAACAGGCAGTATTTCAGGAAGCACATGGATTAGCACACGTGGGATGCAGACAAATGCTAAGGAATCTTCAACAATGGTGGCACCCTCATCTAAAAGATATGGTAACAGCATATGTTGACACCTGTACCGTTTGTTTAAAGTACAACATTCGACCTACAGTAAAACCTGAACGAGGTTCTTTTCCTCTCCTGCACCGACCGGGACAGGAGGTGATTCTAGATTACACTGATATGTTGGAACCTGTTAAAGGGTTCAGATATGTATTGATGTGTGTTGACGCATTTACAGGGTGGCCAGAAGCCATACCTGCAAGAAGAGAAGACAGCAAAACAGTGGTGAAGTTTCTGATTAACCATTATATCCCCAGACACGGTTTCCCAGGAAAAATCAGATCAGACAATGGCACACATTTTAAAAACACAGATCTGCAGGCTGTGGAAAAAATGTTAGGCCTAAAACATGCTTTTGGAACCGTGTACCATCCCCAGTCTCAAGGGAAGGTCGAAAGGATGAACCAGAACATAAAACAAAAATTGGGCAAAATCTGTGCACAGACTAAATTAAACTGGGTGGACGCATTACCTATAGCATTAATAACAGTGAGAACTTCTGTTAATAATGGAACTGGCTTTTCTCCCTATGAGTTAACTACAGGTAGACCCTTTCCTGGACCAACCGTAT